TGAATCACTAGTAGTGGGCAGATTGGGCTGATAACGGGCAAATGTGCTTGGACAAGCAGTGAAGGGAAGTACAATGTATTTTTTATTATACTGTACCATGCAAATGGCACACAATCTTGTACTTGTTTTCAGGCATCTTTTTTTTTTTTGGTCAAAGGTTTTGTAAACAGATATGGATGATACTATTATGTTAGGATTGTTAGTGGTACACAGAAAAAACAGCTTTAAAAATTGTTTTATTGAGGCAATTTGACACACCAAAATTCATTCAAGTGCATATTTGGTTATTTTTGGTAAGTCTCCAGAATTGTCCACTCATTAGCATAATCTATTTTAGAAGTTTCTTTTTTTTTTCCCCCCCTTGGTCTTTTTGAGACAGGATCTCCCTGTAGCCCTAGTTGACCTGAACTCACTACATAGACCAGGCTGGCCTTGAACTCACAGAGATCTGCCTGCCTCTGCCTCCTGAGTCCTGGGTTCAAAGGCGTGACAATCATGCCCAGCTTTTTAGGTTTCTAACACTGCACAAAGACCTCCTATGGCCTTTGCAGTCTCTGTAGGCACTCCAACCCCCAGCCCTAAACTACAGCCAGTCACTATCTCTAGGAATGAAGATACTTCATAAAAATTGAATCCCTCACGTTTTTTTGTGCCAGCCTCCTGCGCTTAGCTGATTATTATTGTTGTTGTTTTGAGACGGTCTCAGCTGGCTCAGGCTGGCCTTGAAACTCTTGATCCTGTGGTCTCCATCACCTCGTGCTGGGATTCCAGACAGCACAACCACTGCTAACAGTTTGAGAGCACCTCCATGCTGTATCTCTTAGGAGTACTTCAGTCCTCGTTATGTCCAAAGTAGAGATATATAACACTTTTTGACCCATTCAGAAGTTCATGAGCATCTAGATTGTTCCCATCTTTTGACCATTGTAATCTGCCTTAAATATTTGTGTACAAAGTGGATGAATCTTTTTTTTTTTTTTCAGTTCTCTTAGGTAAATACGGAGGCGTGGAATTGCCGGTCATATGGTGTTTTCATGAATAACTTTGTAACCTGGCAAACTTTTCCAAAGTGGTTGCACTATTTTAGAGTTCTGTACGTAATACATGAGGGCTCTAATTTGCTCACCTCCTCACCAGCCCTTCCTGTCTGAGTCTGTATTTTTTTAATTGCAGCCATTGTAGTGGGTGTAAAGAGCTTTGCTTTTGTGGTTTTAATTTGCATTTTCCTAAGTGGCTAACGATGCTGAACATCACTTGTAATCATCTAAATATCTTCTTTGGCAAAATGTGTATTCTTTCAGCCACTTGTAATTGGCTTATTAGTCTTCTTTATTGAGTTCCAAGAGTGCTTTAATAACATTCTGGATACAAAACCTCTATAAGATACATGATTTGCGAATCCTTTCTCCCAGAACAGGGTGTATCATTCTCTTTTTTGGCTGAGGTTCTCTATTATTTTTATTTTATGTGTATGAGTGTGTTGCCTGCATGTATGTGAGTGCACCCGTGTCGTGCAATGCTGCAGAGGTCAGAAGAGGGCTTTGGATTCCCCTGGAACTGGAGTTAAGGATGGTTCATAGCCGCCTTTTGGATGCTGGGATCGAACCCGGGTCCTCTGCAAGAACAGTCAGTGCTCTTAACCGCGGAGCCATCTCTCCTGCTCCAGCTGCAGTATTTTTTAAAGACTACATGTTTCAAAACTAGTTTCCTTGTGGACCAGTTAACAGGCTGATTAACTTTGTTTCAATACCTATACTTGAAAAATGGTACCTTTTAGGCCCTGTGTGCACTGTGGCCCAGGCCTGTAAACCCAACATTCCGGAGGTAGATTTACTTTCCAAAGCAGTACTTGGAAGATGCAGACTGGTGTAAAACAAGATAGTAACAACTTAGAGCGATAATTTTTGCTAATTCCCTTTTTTCTGAGGAGGCGGAACCCAACTCAAGGCCTTGCACTTGGAAGGCAAGACCTGTTACCATGGAGCTCCACCTTCAGCCCTTACTGCCAATATAGACCTAAGGTGTGGCCACTGGGATCCTATAAATGATAGTATATTGTAGTTTCGGCTCCTGGTGGGCAAGCAGTACGATCCAAACGTCTCAATGAGTTCACGAGAAACGCAAAGACCGGTGCTGGTGCGGCTCAGTCTCCCGGGTAGCCTAGCTGATCCTGGGACCCCGTGGTGCCGGGGGCGGTTACACACGGGCAAGGGCTGGAAGTGCTGGAAGGGCATCCCCGTCCCGGGGCCCCGTGGCATTTGTTATTTTCGTCCCCGGAGTCCGCCTGGCTCTTCCCGCGGTGCGGGGCAGGTCGGGTCGGGGTCCCCGCCCACCCTCGGCCGTGCGTCAGCCGCTGGTGCGGGGCTCCGCGACCCGGCTGTGCTGCGCCCCGGGGCCCGCGCCCGCGTTTCCCGCCCGCGCCGGCTCCGGGAGGATCGCTCG